AAAATATTCATTTTATTTAATTGAAGGAGTGTGGCTTCTATTAACAATATTAGAAAGGCAAAACTCTTTATGGATGTTTAATTTACCTTTACCTTTTTTAACAGCTAAGCTTTTTTGTTATTTTTTCAGATAAAGGATTTAATATTATTATTATCTATTAATTAACAATTTTTGTAATGGAACCACCTCGTACTACATATAAGTTTTATACTAAGCATGCTTGTATGTCACTCCTTTTCAATATCAATATTTAGTAACTTATACATTAACTTTAATAATTTGGTGATGTTAAGACACCCAATTCAAAGACTGCTAAGAAATAAAATTTTTATTCATATTTTTTACAAGAAATATTCCGCGTTATATATTTTAAGTGGCTGAACCGTTTTAGCAATTTAATTTATGGAATGGAGGTAAAACACATTACGATACATCCCACTGCCAACTGTAATATAAAGTACATTTATTTCCCGATTAGACATTAACGAGCATCGGCGATTGAAGGAAGAGGCGAAGATTAGTGCCCGTATCTCATTTTATGGCTCAGGAAGAGGCATCTGGTGGCGATGGTGGTGCTGGTGACGTAGTCATGGGTTTGCTGGGCTGCGTCCATTATATCACCTCTGGGTGAAAGTGATGATGGCATTCGCGAGGCCTCCGCGCCGATACGATACTCGTTTACGAACATTTTCCTGTATGTGGCACACAGGGTGTGCTCGCACTCCCGCGGATACGCCCCGCAACACCCTGTTGGGGCAAATATATGCTAATGCCGCAGTTTTGTATTTTCCATTTATGCCTGCAAATATTTTTTTTCAATTATCGATTTTCGTTTGCCATTTTCCTCATAGGTGTGTGCGTGTGTGTGTGTGGAAAAGCACGGCGACTTCCTCATTGCAGTTTGGCCGTTTTTTGCGATGCTTCAGTTGCTGCTTTTTTTGATTTTTGCCCGACACTGTACTGTGGGGAGAGAAATCGCGCCGGCGAATTCCAAACGCCAAACCAAATGCCTGTCATCGATTAATGAATATTCATAATTGTGGACAGGCCAGAAAGCCGAAAGCAGCAGCTGCCCCTTGGAAATTGTGCCACACGAAATTAAGAGCAATTGCTACTCGAATTTGCGGTTGCTGTTTGCTGGTTGCTGGATGCCAGCAGCATCAGCAGCAAAAGCTAAGGCAAAAACAATAACAAAAGCAGCGGCGGTGGCGGAGTGTATGCAAATATTTGCCCTGGCCGCAAAAAATTAAAACACGAAATGGAAAAAGGCAAAGCGCCAAACACTTTCCAACTGTCGCAAGCATCCGCCAGCAGCTGGCATTGGAGTTGAAGCGTTCACGCGGCAGCAGCACCCGCACCAAACCCAATCCCCAATCCCCAGTCCCAATCCGAATCCCCGACCTCAACCCAATCCCCAACCCCATCCCAATGCCAATGCCGATGCCCATGCCCCACAGCAACACAACACAGAAAACTTTTTTTATATTTTTGAGGTGCTTATCTCTAAAAACATATGAAACTTTGTGTTGCACATACTAACATATAAACATCTTGTTGAGATAGCTACAAATTTAAAGATTGAGTTTCACTGATTTTATTGGAAAAATAATTACAATTAAGTATATTGATCCTAAAATGATATATCCATTTCTATTTTATTTTATTACATTTTAAAACTGAATTTAGTTTTTAACTTGTCATTTAAGTACCGAATTTAACTAGTTTATATTAAATTCTTAGAAGTATCTACAATTTTGATTTAAAATATCTTGTTGAAATCATTCAAGATTGTTCGAATATTTAATATTGTAAAACGGATTATAAATAATTATATTTATTAAGTATAATTCAACAATTTCGAATAAAAATGTTATTATTGTATTTAAAAATGTAATTTATATTTGAATTCATTGAATCATTTAAATAAAGAAATTAATCCGTTTTCATTTTATAGTTTTTATACCCGTTACTCGTAGAGTAAAAGGGTATATTGTATTCGTGCAAAAGTATGTAACAGCTAGAAGGAAGCGTTTCCGACCCTATAAAGTATATACATATATTCTTGATCAGGATCACTAGCCGAGTCGATTTAGCCATGTCCGTCTGTCCGTCTGTCTGTCCGTCTGCCTGTCTGTCTGTCTGTCTGTCCGTATGAACGCTGAGATCTCGGAAACTATAAAAGCTAGAAGATTGGCATTTTGCATGTAGATTTTAGAAGTTCCTACGCAGCGCAAGTTTGTTTCAAAATGGTGCCACGCCCCCTTTAACGCCCACAATCGCTTATATACGAATTTAAAAATTTAAATATTTCGGAAAAGTAAAAATGCAGTTTTATCGAAATTTAGAAGAAATTTTTCAAATCGGACCATTCGTTAAAAAGTTATGCGTGATCAAAGTTTCTATCTCCATCTCCCTCGCACTCCCTTTACCTGAGTAACGGGTATCTGATAGTCGGGGCACCCGACTATAGCGTTCTCTCTTGTTTTTGTAATATAAAAGCGACATATCGAGGAAATATATAATTTAAAATATTAAATTAATATCAATGGATTGGGCGAAGATATATTACTTGTTATAACGCTTATATTCTCATGAGTTTCTATGCTTAACTTTATTTCTTTCTGTGGATCTGCGCAATGACAGCGAGTGCAGATACAGATGAAGAAATGCTGCCGCAGCCGCTGCTCCTTTCACTTTCAATTCGTGTGCGAATCGAGAGCAAAACGGACTCTAAGCTTCGTTAAATAGCAAGGGGCGGCAATCAAAGGTAAATAGAAGAGATCCGCCAAAAAAGCCGATGCCGGATGAATCATCATCGTTCGATCGTTCGGCAGCGGATGCTGTCTTTTGACCGCCTTGCGGTTTTCCAAAGGCCATTCCGACACAGAAATCATCACATGCCATCCGCCGCTGTTTTGGTAACTCGGGTAAAACCCGTACCACCCCGTTTTAAGATCAAGGCTTTCCCGTCCAGCCTTGACGTTGAATTGTTAAGTATCCACTGTACGGGTTTGAACGCTCGAGTGGCGCAAACAGATAACAGATGAACCATTGTGGGGAGCGATTTGTGCGCTCCGTAAGTAAGTTGTCACGGCTCAGCTTGGAACTGTTGAACTCGGAACACGTAATTGTGGGCAGCTGCAGAAGGTCTGGGAACTCGAAGTTAGATTATCTTCAAAAGTCATTTAATGTTCGGTAAGACTTTTCATATATTTTTCTGAAACTTTTTTAGTAGATTTTATAGTAGATTTTAAGCTAAATAGTAAGTATATTTATAAGACTTCATATATTCAACAAATTAAAGAAATAAATTATTGGTATTATCTTAATATATTTCTTGATAACAAAAGATATGGTTTTGTGGTTTGGGAAAAGATAATGTTTATTTGATAACAAAAGATATGGTTTTGGGAAAAAATAATGTTTACTTAATTAGGAAATGTACCTAATGAATATATAAAATTCCCTAAATGGCATGAAATTATCCTTTCATTATTTTTATACCACAGTTACTAGCTGTTTTCTGTTTTGTTCTTTTATTTTGCTTTTATTTTTGAGAATTTTTATAATTTTGCCTTTGGACCATGGACTTCTGGGACACACTGGTGATATAGTCTGCACTTAATGTGGTTTGCTCTCCGTTGCTCATAAGTTGGTGTGAGTTGGACAAGGCGCACACGCTGCTTTATGTACATTTCAATCAAATCAACTGCAATTAGCTGTCACAGCCGAGTCACAGCCTGTCACAGTCTGTCAAAAGGCATTAAATGTTGCGACGCTTTCGTGAATTGCGGGTTCTGTTTTTCTGTTTTTCTGGTTTTCTGGCTATCGGGCTTGTGGTGACTTGCTTTCGGGCCAAAGGCATTGGGAAAATATGAACTGAAAATGTTTAATTGGCGGCTGTCATGTTTGGCCAGTAACAAAAACTGATATAAAACGATGGTGCTTACTATTGGCCATGGCGGCCAATGATGCTTTACGACTTCATATCATAATTGCAGCTTACGAAAGGGTGGTTAGGGGGGAGTTGATGGCTGGCAGAGGGGCGATAAATACACCAAAAAAAATACAATTAATTTAATAAGTTTAAGTCAATTGTATTCTTTTCTTTATCAAATTTATATTTGGATTACTTTCAATTCGGATTACTTTAATTTAAGATTATCATATAAATTTTGTTCTGATTTCCAGAACACTAAAATGTATTCGTTAGTTATTAAATATAATACAATACAATACAATACAATAATAGTATTTAGTCATATGTAAATATAATTAATTATCTTCTAAAGGAATTGGTTTAAAAGACCAGGGATCAAGGAACGTTCCAGGAACATTTAAATAATCTTAAATATTTTCTTAAATTATTGCTTTGCTTTAGTGTGAATACCAGAGGTACATAATTAAGGATAGTTCAATGGCAAAGCATTTTTATGTTTTAAGATTGGTTTTCCTGTCGTAATTTGTCTTTAAAGTATGTTAAACAAATCCAAAGATATTACACCAGCTTGGATTGTTAAGATCTAAAGGAAAGAAAACTTAGAGCAAATCCTACGATCTGGTATCAGCAAAAATTGCATTGATTTTGGGAGATGTTCACATTATCAATAATATATTTTATTTTCGGTGTACGTACTTCTGCCGGCATTAAGCAATAATTTGTATTATTTGTACAATGCGGTGGCTGTTACAGTACTCCATCTCCCTGCTCGATCGGCCCCCCTTTCCCCCTCTCCCAGTTCACCGCCCCAACCCCTTTTGATATCTTTTACGCTTGTCTGTGCATTTATTGTTGCCTAATCGACGGAGGGGCATTGGAGGGGGTCGGCGGTGGCAGCGGTATGGGGCAGACAGCTGATTTTCCCAGTACCGCTTTTGGCGCTGCTTCGTAGGAAGCGCAGCGGCGTCGCTGCGGCAGCGCAGTCGCCCGAAAAGCTCGCGCTCAACTTCGCTCAGCTTTTGCGCCTGCGCAGACCGTTCAGACTTCTTTGAGACTCCGCTCAAGAAGGTCGTGTTTGCGCTTCGCTTCGCCTCGCCTCGCTCAACTTCGGCTTAAGTTCGGTGCGCGTTCGCATATTTACAGCATAACATATATATTCGTGATCGCGATCGCTGTAAGTGCCAACTGTGTGAGTGCAGGATTAAGATAAAGCCCAGGACTCGAGGCGAAATACGGCCAGAAAACTGCAATTAAAGTGGCAACCGATGGTAGCTGAAATTCGAGAGAGTGAGTGCTACGGATTGGATTCAGCTTGCAGTTGTTGTAACAGCCTGCAATTTCAAACGTCGGCCCCCCTCCCTCCCGCCCCTCCCCTCCTTCGCCCACCGCTCTGCGCCTGACAGTGAAAGTGATTTGATTTTGCAATTGGAGTCGCAATCGCCGCTGCTGTTGCTGTTGTTGTTGTTGCGAGCGACTTTGAACAATATTTCTGCTTGTTTGCTGATCCGATCAGCCAGCAGCAAAAAGCAAAAAAATAAAAGCATTTTTATTTCTTATTATTACACTCGCTTTAACCAAACGAAACAAAACTCCGGCAAAACAATAACGAAAAGTGCAAAGAAAACAGCCACATAAATTGCAAGCAATTTGTAATCGGTATCCTAATAAACAATTTCTTTCTCTTATTCCGCACAGTACTAAACTGCCACTGTGCTCTTAAAACAAACAAACAAAATTGGATTAATTCTCAGCGTATTTGCGCTAAACTGCAGAGGTAAGATAACCAAATTTGTTGATTAAACACGTTTTATAAGGCATTCAAATTGATTTTTGCCGCTGCCAGCGATTAAATCATTTGGACGTTGCAACATTCGCACTGCTCACGAACCGCAAAAAAAGAAACTGCTCAGTTATGGTGCAAAAGTAAAGCGTCATTATCTAATAAATCTTACCATATATATATGCCCACTCTGCAAAATGCATAAAACGCAAACCTCATGGCGTGGTCGTGGTCTCTTGCAAAATGTGGAAAGTATTTGCACTTAAATGCTTGCAAAATGCTGGACACATAATCCACCGCAACAGATTCATCAGGGTGTCCCGTTTGGGGAGTGGTTGTGGTTTCCGAATCACACCTGTAAGAGATATATACTTCGATCTCTGGAGTCTGCTAGAATCCGGTGGACAATTATATTAATTACTCTTCGTGCATGCAAATGTGAAGTGGGGCACAGCTGGCTTGCAAAACAGGAAAATAGTTAATAACTATATTTTTTGTGAGAACCGCACATTTATCATATTTTTTGAAAGCGTAATATTTTGAATAGACCAGAAAAAAATATTGTATGAAGGAAATCTAGTAATTTCGACTTTTCTACTTTTTTCTCCGGCAATAAAATCTTTTAAAAACCTTAACATGGGTTTAAATAAGTTGACTTAAATAATGACATTAATTTTTCTTTTACTATTTCTGCAAACATCTGATTTCAGAAATTGTCAACTAATTTTTTAACCTTTTAATTTTTTTAAAATTAATTTCCAACATTAATTTACTTTCAAAAGCCTTAAAAATGAACTAAGACAAACTTGTTTATTCTTTAATAACACCTACTTCCAATGTATACCTCAAAAGTCATCAGGTTGTGACCCAATAATATGTCATTGCGATAAAACAATGCCAAAATTCGTTGGATTATTCAATGTGTTTCCACATTAACAGCTTGATAATTATTATATAACTGACACAGACTTGGAATAATAAATAGGTTGGCTTGAAAGGGCTGAATTAAAACAAAAGCAAAAAAACCATGTCAAGTCGCCAATAAAACAAATAAAAGCCAACGAAATGCAAAAAGGAAAGAAACAACAAACCGGAAAACATAAATACTGAGGCACATACAAAAGTGCGTAAAAGAAGGGCAAACGAAATGTGAAATGAGTCAAAAGGCAGAAAGAGGAAAAGAGGGGCGCATCGCAGCGGCGTCTTAGCCTCAATTTGGTTAACTGCAGCTTGAGCCACAAATTATTTGGCAACGTTTTTATGGCTCCGTCGATGTCTTGTGTTGACTACACAATATACTTTCGTGCGAGTGTCTGTGTGTATAAGTATGACATGAACTTCATTATCAGCAACGTTGAACGCCGACGCTGTTTGTTTTTTTTTTTTTTTTGGTAACATCTCTTTACTTTTTTTTTCGTTTTCCTGAAGTGGTTTTATTTTATTTTGCTTTTTCAATGTAGGGCTGGCTTATTGCATAAGCGGAGAAACTCGTATTGCCTGCTCTCTGGAGCATGCTACAATATATATATATACATATATATATAGGTGCCATATTTATATATGCCTTGGTTGTTGTGGCTGAGAACTTTCTTTCCAGCAGCCCGACACAAATTACTTAATTTTAGGAGCTGCTGCTGTGGCCTTAAATCCGGTTCGGGATTTGGGACCCTTTTTCATCATGTAATAAAATCCAAAATATACGACCCGAGCGTTGGAAAACAAGTTCCGCCAAATTGTGACCATGGCCATGGATTTCTTGGCTTCATTTGCCTTGCTTTTATTTTCTTTTTTGATGCTTTATGTAAATATTTTTCTCTCTTTCACCTTCTTTGTGCATTGCTGGCTTATGTAAGCCAATCGAAATGCTTGAAAATTGTTGCTAGCTTTATGCAAATGATTTCTCAATTTTTTGTTTTCATCATTTTTCTTTCTTCGCATCGAGTCCAATTGATTATGCATTCGGGCTGTTTGTTTATCGGCTTGTTGTTGTTAATTGGGCGCTCCGTATTTTTTTATTTTTCTTTTTTGAGGGGGAGGTGACCGCAGTGGCTACTGGCTATGGGTCGGCTAATTATTTGTATTTGACTGAGCTTAGGTCGGGGCAAGTTCGTGCCCTGAGTCTTTTGTTTTTATGTGGGTAAGGAGTGGAGGAGGGGATTTCCCTACATTTCCGGATATGTAAACTCTTGCAGCATCTTTAATCCGGGCAAGATTTGTGATCTAAGTTTTTTGTTTTTAGATTGGGTGGATCTCTAGTTCGTTGCCTAAGTCTTTTGTTTTTTTTCTGCTTAGAGGCGAATAAACGGCCATATAAATGGTTTTACAGCACGCCACGAGCCATTGGCACGAGATTCTCTGAAAGTTTATTGCGCTTATCTAATCGGACGTTTTAGAGCTCTTACAATCTACTGATTAATATTGCTCATTCGCCGTGTGATCCTGCCACAGTGTTAGTGGCGCTAATTGCATAATCATCACCATTGATATAACGTGTGCGATTTGCATGCAACGCTTCATATACATATAAACTTATCAGTTTTTGTTTTTGTTATTGCTGTTGCCATGGTCCACACTCGGCCACTTCTTAACACTCGACTGCTGCCGGTGTTGACTTAACACATTCGTAACAATTGCGCAGCAGCCTTGCGTATTGAATATTAATTAACACTCTACGGGTGTGTGTGTGTGTGTGTGTGCGTGTGCTTGTGTGTGGAGCAGACGTCACAGGTGCCATCATTTGGCCATCGATTGATTAGGTGGACGGGCGTGTTGAAACGCTCTGGGCTGCGGTTTACAACGGCACTTACCTTACCCAACTCTCGCGGCTCTAATATGTATATTTCGCTTGTCGTCTCCTCTGTTTTGGGCCGCACAAAATGTGCCAATGGCATGACACCGATTTCCACTTAATTTAGCTTTGGCCGGGCCAAGACGAGCGCAGCTGTTTGACCCACTTGAGCGATGGGTGGTGGTGCCAGTGCTAGCTGGTGGTGGGAAAGTCAAATGGGTTTAACCTTTCGGCTTGTGCAAACAATTCGTAATTGCAAATGGTAGCAATTCAAAATAATTGAGCAAATCTATTTTAATCCCATTTGGCCAAGACGACGTCCACCGAAAATGGGTGTGGGAGTGGAACGATGAACGGGAGGGGCTATCAATTTTGTGGTTGCTGTGATTGTCTTTTGATTGCCTGCTTAAATAAATGTAAACGTTTAACCAAGGAAAAGTTGGAAAAACACGAAAATTATGTTTGCGATCGTTTGACGAAACAGTACAGTTAATTTTGATACAATGAAAAATGTTTAATTCAAAAATTGTATTAATTAATAGTAATTTTGTAAAAATAGTTTAATAGTTTTGTATAAAAATGCATAGGTCACATAATAATTATTTTGAATATACAATCTTTACAACTATTTAAATTTTATTCATTTTTGTTGAGCTATCGATTTGATTTATTATTAAAAACGAGGACGGAAGCTAACTTCGGCAAGCCGAAGTTTTAATACCCTTGCAGACTTTGCCGAAGTTGCTAAAACTGAAAAAGTAGCGAAAGGAATAAGATATACATAAATAAACTAGATTTGCGTCGTTTGATGTCAATTGCTTTTATACTGCAAAAATGTCATATAAAAATGGAAAAAAAGGGATACTTTCGCAGCCTTTAACTATTTTTCCTACGGAAGCTATAAGAAATAGACGTCCGATCGGCAAGCGCTTTTACCCTAATCAAGATATGCGTAAATAAATAAGACTTGGAAAAATGTATGTCAGTAGCTTACACACTACGCGAAAAATTCAGAAAACCAACAAATTTGGACCGATTTCACCCTGTTGTTCCTATGGGAGCTGTAGGATATAGACGTCCGATCGTCACGTGCTTTTACCCTAATCAAGGTATGCATAAAAAAATACGATTTGGAAAGATTCATGTCAATTGCTTATATACTGTGCGAAATATCCTAAAAATCATTAAATTTTAACCGATTTCACCGTATTGTTCCTATGGGAGCTATAGGATATAGACGTCCGATCGCCAAGCGCTTTTACCCTGATCAAGGTATGCATAAAAAAATAAGATTTGGAAAGATTTATGTTAATAGCTTTTACACTGCGCGAAATATCTTCCATTCTTGAAAGTTATATCCGATTGTTCCTATGGGAGCTATAGGATATAGACGTCCGATCGCCACGCGCTTTTACCTTGATGAATGAATGCATAAAAAAATACGATTTGAAAAAATGTACAGCAATAGCTTTTACACATCGCGAAATATTCTGAAAAACATAAAATTTGGACCGATTTTACCCTATTGTTCCAATGGGAGCTATAGGATATAGGCGTCCGATCGTCACGCGCTTTTACCCTGATCAAGGTACGCATAAAAAAATAAGATTTGGAAAGATTTATGTCAATAGCTTTTACACTGCGCGAAATATCCTAAAAATCATTAAATTTTAACCGATTTTACCCTATTGTTCCTATGGGAGCTATAGGATATAGACGTCCGATCGCCACGCGCTTTTACCCTGATCAAGGTATGCATAAAAAAATACGATTTGTAAAGATTAATGTCAATAGCTTTTACACTGCGCGAAATATCATAAATTCTTGCAAGATATATCCAATTGTTCCTATGGGAGCTATAGGATATAGACGTCCGATCGGGGCGATTTTCAAACTTGATCTGCGTACACATGTTTTAGGACGATTGTGAAAGTTTCAGATCGCTAGCTTTTAAACTGAGCTCGCAAACGGTATTGAAACAGACGGACAGACGGACATGGCTATATCGACTCCCCTATTGATCCTGATCAAGAATATATATACTTTATGGGGTCGGAAACGTCTCCTTCACTGCGTTACAAACTTCTGACCAAAATTATAATACCCTCTGCAAGGGTATAAAAATTAAGTTTTCTATAATTATACATAAAAAAAGATTAGCTATACGTAATTAATTTAATTTTTAAATAGCGGATGTAGTATGTACTTGTCTGATTGGCAGCAACTTTTACCCTGAGCAAGGTGTACATAAATAAAATAGATAAATTGCATAGTTTCATGCCAATAGCTTTTATACTGCAAAATTGTCATATACAAATAGGGAAAAAGGGATATTTTCGCAGCCTTTAACAATTTTTCCTACGGAAGCTATACGATATAGACGTCCAATCGGCAAGCGCTTTTACGCTGATCAAGGTATGCGTAAATAAATAAGACTTGGAAAAATGTGTGTCAATAGCTTATACACTGCGCGAAATATTCTAAAAAACATGAAATTTTGACCGATTTCACCGTATTGTTCCTATGGGAGCTATAGGATATAGACGTCCGATCAGCACGCGCTTTTACCTTGATGAATGAATGCATAAAAAAATACGATTTGAAAAAATGTACAGCAATAGCTTTTACACATCGCGAAATATTCTGAAAAACATCAAATTTGGACCGATTTTACCCTATTGTTCCTATGGGAGCTATAGGATATAGACGTCCGATCGTCACGCGCTTTTACCCTGATCAAGGTACGCATAAAAAAATAAGATTTGGAAAGATTTATGTCAATAGCTTTTACACTGCGCGAAATATCCTAAAAATCATTAAATTTTAACCGATTTTACCCTATTGTTCCTATGGGAGCTATAGGATATAGACGTCCGATCGCCACGCGCTTTTACCCTGATCAAGGTATGCATAAAAAAATACGATTTGTAAAGATTAATGTCAATAGCTTTTACACTGCGCGAAATATCATAAATTCTTGCAAGATATATCCAATTGTTCCTATGGGAGCTATAGGATATAGACGTCCGATCGGGGCGATTTTCAAACTTGATCTGCGTACACATGTTTTAGGACGATTGTGAAAGTTTCAGATCGCTAGCTTTTAAACTGAGCTCGCAAACGGTATTGAAACAGACGGACAGACGGACAGACGGACAGACGGACAGACGGACAGACGGACATGGCTATATCGACTCCCCTATTGATCCTGATCAAGAATATATATACTTTATGGGGTCGGAAACGTCTCCTTCACTGCGTTACAAACTTCTGACCAAAATTATAATACCCTCTGCAAGGGTATAAAAAAGCATTTTAATTGTGTTTACAATTTGTTTCTTTGAAATGTAACATTTATTTGGCTTATGGGGAAGATAAACATATTGACCAGAAATAACAAAAAACCATTTTTATTATTATGCCTTTGTACAAGGCGTTGAGTGAAAAGCAAGAAATTCTGATTAATGTGTAAAATGTGTTGTTATGCATATGCATGTTATGCATAGTCATATTTTTCAAACCAAAGAAATAAAGCTTTGTTTACAATTAGTTCAAAGGCATTGTTACCAGCTGGCAGTTTTCACAGCTTAGTTTGTAAGGAGCCGCTAACTGGGATCTGGCATGAAAGCAATTTCGGCTGTCTTCTTTGGGTTTTCTTAATTTATTAGCCAAGCGCTGGTCTCCCTCCTCCATAATTTAGGCATTTTCCCCCAATTCAACAAAATGCATAAAAATTTCCTTGAGTCAGCGGTGCAGCTTGTCTCGCATTTATTTTATGCGCAACTCATCAGCCAGCGACAAACGGGAGACAACGAAAATGACAACTTTTGGCTGAGCTTTTGTGTTGCCATTGTTGTTGATGTTGCTGATGTTGCTGGCGATGTTTGCTGGTGTAGCTATTGCCATTGTCGTTCGCCGCATTAGCCATTGTCTTCAGTTGCGGGGAGAATTCATTTGTCGTGAATTATGCGTGGCCAGATAAAAGAAAAGTCTTTCGGATTTGAGACGCATAATCGACTGCCCAAATGCAATGAGCAGTGGAATATCGCATCTGCATACGCAACTGCAACCAGTTGCTGCTGTTGCTGATGTTGCAGATGTTGCTGCTGCTGCTGTTGCTGCTGTTGCAGCTGCGGTGGCGCATTTAAAATGCATTTATCTCAATTACGAGCAGAAAAGCAACCAAATCGCTTGTTTACAACGAAATGGAAACGAAATGAACGACGCATTGTTTGCAGCTGAAAAAAAACTTTCACTGCCAGCGCCAAACTAAAACAAAAGTAATGAAGTTGCGGGCGGGAGGGATCTGGGGAATCCAAGGTATAGCTCCGAAAAAACACAAAACCCTTACAGAAAATCCCAGCAAAGTATTGTTAATTAAAACAAATAAACTGAAAGCAGACAGAGCAACGTAAAGCGATTGTAAATTATGCGTAAGAGTCGGAGAAAGAGAAAGAGCCGCAGAAAGCCAGTTTCCGGCGTCCTTCACTCAAGGCCGTTTCCATATGGAGAAGCAGCACGCATGTGCATTCGCATTGTTGCTGACCAACCATGATGATGATGATAATGATGATGATGATGATGATGACGATGGGGCAGCTGTCATTTAAGTGCAGTCTTATGTAACCCGATCCAGGAGACCGTTACGGGATGGATTAGCCCGGACTTAGCCTGCACTGCCCAAAAAATGTAAATTGAGTTTTGCAACAGTTGCATCACAATGCGTCAGCATGGCAAAAAACAAAAAAAACAAGAAAGGAAAGCTAACTTCGGGCGGAGCCGAAGTTGATATACCCTTGCAGAATACTCTGTAAATTATATTCTCCAAAATTATTCATATGATGCATTCTTAATACTCATAAAAAATCCCAACTTCCTAACTTTAAAAACATCAAAGTTATGGCATTTCCAATCGTTCAGTTATATGGCAGCTATAGGATATAGTCGGCCGATCCTTATGAAATTTGGTAGGTCGGATTGATTGGCCAATTATAAAACCCATAGAAAATCCCAACTTCCTAACTTTACAAACACCAAAGTTATGGCATTTCCGATCAATCAGTTATATGGCAGCTATAGGATATAGTCGGCCGATCCCTTTGAAATTTGGTAGGTCGGATTGGTTGGCCAAATATAAAACCCATAGAAAATATTAACTTCCTAACTTTACAAACACCAAAGTTATGGCATTTCCGATCAATCAGTTATATGGCAGCTATAGGATATAGTCGGCCGATCTCGGCCGTTCCGACTTATATACTGCGTGCAAAGGAAAGAAGGGTGTGTGCAAAGTTTCAATTCGATAGCTTTAAAACTGAGAGACTAGTTTGCGTAGAAACAGACAGACGGACAGACAGACGGACAGACGGACAGACGGACATGGCTATATCAACTCAGGAGGTGATCCTGATCAAGAATATATATACTTTATAGGGTCGGAGATGTCTCCTTCACTGCGTTGCACACTTTTGACCAAAATTATAATACCCTCTGCAAGGGTATAAAAATAACACCATCTGGCAAAACCAGTTGAGTCGCCAAAAAATATTTCATAACGAACATCTATACATAAAGTGTCCGCAAAATGTGTTAACTATTATGCAAAGCTGTCGAAGCGCCGAGTCACGTTTTCGGGAGGCAACATCCCAGCTTCCTGGTGGAAAATTGGAAAAATCGCAGGCCGGCACACCGCAAAATCAAGTTCAAAATGTCAAGTTTGAGCCAAGTTAAAGGAAGCGATTGGCAGATCGGCGCACAAACAAACACTTTTCGCCGAGCAGCTGCTCTCGTGGTGCTTGAACTCGAAATGAAAGTGAAAAGACGCCGACTTCGACTGCACCGCTGCCGAGCAGAGCGAAAAAGCTGGCTAACTCTTACTTTCAAGGCGATTTCTGTATAGCGACTGACCAGCCAGTGCAGCCATACTAACGAGGAGTTCTGAGACTGGTCGACTATAGAGTGCACTCACTGTGATTGGCAGGGGAACAAATGTAGTTCAAACTTAAGAGGCAGTCTCCCTAGAACCAAAAAGCAAAGATTTAGAGATTATTCTAAATTATGTTAAAACTAATTTTTCTATCAGTGAAATTAATCTAGTTTAGTGGTTCAATTACTATCACAAATCGCTTAGAGTTTTATTTTACAGGTATATAAAAACATTTTTATTTCCAACCAAAAACATATTTGTTGTGTAATTCATTAAAAACTTGTGGCCAGCTCGTAATTTACTTCTGCTGAATTAACATTATATGCAGAATAAATCGAACTATTAAAGAAAATGTTAATTAATACACTATCTACACTCCTTCAAATTAATTAAATTTGGTAATATTTTCAAAACATCTTAAATCGTAATTGTTGCTAGCAATTGTTGTTAAACATTTTCTAAAAATAAAGTTTTTTTAATTAACTTAATTCTGTTTTTCGTAACTCATGCAGTATTTAGTTTTTATTATACCCCAAATTCAAATGCCACAAATTAAATGTGTGCAACTAGGACATTTGAATGCAAGTCATATTAAAATGTAATTAAAAATACATATTACAATTCAACATAATCATAGCATCCAATTGTACACAAACTTAACTAATATGCCTTTTAGGCAGACATAGGGTACTGAACTACACCTCAAATTTGCTTTTATTGCGCTTTTTTATTACATCCATTCATTTCCTTCTATCGTTAAACGTAAAAACAAGGCAGGCAAAAAATAAAAAATTCGCAAAAAGTAAAAAAGGGAAATTAAATAAAAACACTGCGAGTTGTCAGGTGCTGATGATGGTTTTTCCAGTTTTCCCAGATGCTTTTATCGCGGCGACAGGTTTCCAAAAACTCAGCTGTGGCTTTTGTGACCGAGGAAACGCGTGTGGCAGTGGCAAGTGCACCTCGGCCAGCAACGGGTTTCTTTTTTGTTTAGCGTAAATTGATGATTTAAAATTAATTTGCTACGGGATTAATGGGAATTTAATGCGCAAAGCGGAGATTATGCTTTCTGCATTTATGCATTACGAGTTAGCTCCACACCCACTCATAATTGCCCAAAAATTGAAACCGGTTTTTTGGTTTAATAATAATTTCTGTTTATCCGTTGCAGGCAATTAAGGAAGTAATTCGTGGCCGGAGCTTTAATCGTGAACGTTGTCGCGATGCGGTGCAGCATGCAACCACACGAAACCGCTTGAAACGTCGCTGTTAAAGCGTCAACAGCAATTGCCATAATTGCCATTGGAGCAGCACAGTCCAATAACCGCTGGACCCGCACATACACACACACACCACACACCTTGTACACCACACACCTCATACCTATACCCAAGCACACCCCATCCCATCCCGGCACCCGGACCAATTCGGCATCGAAATCATCGAAACTGGCATCCAAAACCCGCCACACGAGCTGAGCTATCGGCGGCAGGCACACAGATTGCCGCAAATCCAGCTGAATTGTAACAGAGCCGCCGCAACGCGCCGGAAAATCGAAAAATCGGAAAATCCGAAGTGCCGCGACCGAGACCAAGACCAGACCAAAAAAACCAGTGAGGAGAGAGATCAATGAACGCGGCACGCAGCTGACAGGCATTCGGTTGGATATCCACTTTTCAGCAGCCAGCAGAGCGTAAGAAAAGCGAAACGGACCAACTTCGCATTGCTTTTGGGGCGGAGATTCAGCGATCAGTATTCAGCGTTCACCGATCAGCGTTCAAGTTCAGGCCGGCGCCAAGCAGGAAGTGGTGCGGCTGCACCTTAATTGGAGGCAGAGCCAGTGTCATTACCACCAGACAACCACCATTCACCGCCGCTCATCCTGCTCGATGTAAGATGTTAGTATTAGCCAGCAACAGCCGCAGTACTAGCCTCAGCCGGAGCAGCACACGCAATAGTTGGAGATGGAGCCGATTGGCGTTGGCGATTAATCTGTTCGCCTACTGCTGTTGTGTTGTCTCCCCTGCGGTGGCCACGCCCACCACGGCGGTCACCACGGCCGCCCTCCTGTCGGGCCACCAACTCCTGCCTTGGCAGACATCTGCAGCGGCGGCCACCACGCCCTCCACCGCCCGCAATCTGTATGCCCCCTACCAGAGTTTCAGTCGGCAGGACGACATCAGCTTCAAGGATGTGCGCCAGCGCAGCGATGGAACGGTGGTGCAGTCCTTCGGTTCCTATCGCACCGCCCGCCAAATGGGTGGCTTTGCCAGTGCCCAGCGGCGTTCCGATGCCGCCGTGGAGATCGTTCCGGCGCCATCGGTGGAGCTGCCCCAGAGCGAACTGATCACGGTGCCCAGGCAGCTGGTGCCCACCATGCCGGAGAATGTGACGCGACAGGGAAGGCGGCGCAACTACATGTACATACCGCTGCAGACGGAGGGGGAAAATGGAGGTGCGGGATCGCTACTCCAACTGCGTCCCAGTCGGAATGCCACCCTGTCCGCTTTGGGACCACCTGCCGATGGAGTGGCCGCCGTGGCCCACGAATTCGGAGCGGAACTGGCCACCCAGGGAAGTCCGGAAGAGCAGCCACTTGAACTGGAACTGGGTCCCGATCGCACCGAGCGCAGTGATCTCTTGGCCGCCGCCAGTTCCACGGACAAACTGGAGTATGCGGAGCCGGAGAATACCAGTCGACGGGTGGGATTCCAGTTTCCCAGCTACAGTTTGAAGCCAGCCAGTCCTTTTCATCCGCAAGCCTATCGCGAGGATAACCCCATCTTCGGGGAGACCAGTGCAGGGGGCTATGAACCCCAGCCGTTCAGCGAGGATGCAGCTGCTCCTCCTGTTCCGCCACCCACGCAATACGAACAGCACGAGACGCGCCACACCCGCCAGCTGTACTTCGATACGGACACGGCATCCTCCAGCTTCGAGTTCCCCGGCCTGGTGAGCAACTCCAAGCCACATGGACTGAAGCTGTACCGCGACGATGTGACCAAGTTTGGGGACATCAATGGACCGATCACCGCCTTGCCGCAGCAGAGACCGCAGCGCGGCTTCTACTTCGGCGACACCGAGTTCCGAACGGGACCACCTCCCGCTCCAGTCCGCCAGTTTGGACCGCAGAAGAACTTCCAGGAGTATGTGGGTCCCAGCGAGTACCAGGGATCGCGCAAGAGTCGCTACTACCCGTACAAGTCGTCTCGCAGTCCCCGCGTGGTCTTCCCCACCAACGACAATGTGGGCACCACCGGACCCAGTGGACCCGCCGGCAGCAGCGGACCCTCCGGAAACGGGGTTTACTTCAGCGATAACATCGCTTTCAGGTGGGTACCTTTAATACCAAAGACTAATAAAAATAGGAAGCTACACATCTGCTTGGTGATGCACTTGATTGAAGGATATATATATTGTATAATCTCCCTAAGAAGCGTTTGACTGAAATATAAACAGGGACTACATGGCTTTTTTTTGCTAAGAAGTTGTAAAAAAGATATTGATTTAATTCATTTCTAATTAGTTTTTTGTTTTGTATTTCTTTACAAAACAAAAAAATATTTACACAAATATGTCTGTCTGTCGTTAGCAAGTTCTAAAACAGATATTGGTAATATTTGATTTGTTTTTCTATATAAAAATATGATAAAGGAATATAAATTGTTTTGATTTCCAAGCTTTATCGAAGTTTTAAAAAGTCTATTAAGAAAATTTCTCTTAATTTATATCGGATTGGTTTTTCTAATCGAAAAACCTTCAATAGTTTACACGCTTACCATATTTTACTTTAATTTTTAAATTAAGGAAATGATTTGGCTTTTGTGAGTAATTTTCTTCGCCTTTTTAAGGTTTTCCATTTTTTAAATCTTTCCATCTTTTTTATATATTATACGATGTCACTATGTTTCAAACCAGATAAGATACAGAATTCTATATTTTTTTTAGGGAACTTACATTTTTTGTTGTCAAGAACAAAACATGTTAAAGAAGCTAGGCATGTATTAGTTCTAATTAGCGCAACTTATGTTGTTCGGAGGATTTTATCTTTTCAAAAACTAACCCCAGCATCCAATCTCCTCCATACCAACAGGGACCAGAACTTCGGCATCAACGAGCTGGCCGCCGTGCAGGATGTGCGGAACGACTACAGTCTGCAGGAGCTGGACAGTGCCTCGGAGGCGACCAGCAGTCCCCAGTCGGCGAGTACGTTCAAGGAGAAAGGTAAGTGCCTGCCGCAACCGCAACCGCAACCGCTCCTCCGACTCGACCCCCTCCCCGCATTCGGTAGGGCTTAGGAAGGGGCTTCAGTCAGCTGCTGGGAAACTGCTTGCACTAGGCCACAATAGAAACCCACACACACACAGATTCCCACATTTATTCCCACCCACCCCACAACAACACGAGATCCAACCGATTGCAACTCCGATTCCCATTCGACAGTCGACATCACTACGGACACGGAGTGCCAGCACCGGGGCGGTACGTGCGAGTTCTTTTTGGGCTGCTGGCTCTCCGGCGGCCTCATTCAGGGCACCTGCGACGGACTGCTGAGGGGCTGTTGCCACCGCACGGCCAAGTCGGCCAATCTGGGCAGCTCGGACTTCGTCGGCAATGCCGTAGATCTGACCGATCTGCCGCAAAAGAACTACGGACCGGTCAACAACGAACCCAGTGAGTGTGGCAGCCTCAGCTCGAACGCAAGCCAAACCAACTCCAAACTCAAAACTCAAACTCCAAGCACGTGCACACTAAAACCCAAAATTACAAAATACCAAATACCCAAAAAAATATATATAAATAAAAAGCGGTTGAACGAAATAGTTGAGAAATAATTTGCATGCCCACCTCTAACAATTTACGTATATTTTGTAGTTCGTTTTGTTATGTAGTTATGCACTCGTAATTCGCATTTGTTATTTGTTACACTCTTGGGTAGTTTTCAGTGCCTAATTAAGCCGCAATCTGTGCAACTATTTGGGCCTAGATGTACGCTGAGATGCCTATAACACACGCCACTCAACCAAAAACCAAAACCAAAAAAAAAACCACCCGCGAAGGAGGCTCAATCAAAAGAAAGGCTGAGCACAACACAACACAAAAAAATAAAAATATATAAGTTTAATTGCCCGGCATGAGCATGTTAATTACCACAGCACGCTAATGATAATTAAGCCATATATTACACATAGCTTAACGGCATTATGCTCCATGTCCAGACCCCGACCAAACCGAGACCCCAAATCCCATCAAGACGCGACGACGACGACTCGACTCTAGAAAGCTGATTTGAACCCGGCAGCTGCACGTTGCCCGCTTGTTTGGCTAATTGCTTGCTTGGTGGTCACCCTCTGTTGTTAAATGCTTCACTAATCCAATCCCGAAAATCCCTTAAATGCTAAGAGGTCCTGGAACTACACATATGACTTGACTTACCTTTGCCTTTTGCTTTTCCAGGCTGCGGCATTTCGCTGGCCAAACAAACCGCCCAGCGGCGCATTGTGGGCGGCGATGATGCGGGCTTTGGTTCCTTCCCGTGGCAGGCCTACATCCGCATCGGATCCTCCAGGTGAGCATCTTCATCAGGGTTAACTGGCTCCTCCTTGTACTCACACTACCCCTCGCCCCCTTGCAGATGTGGAGGTTCGTTGATCTCGCGGCGCCACGTGGTCACCGCCGGTCACTGTGTGGCACGGGCCACTCCGCGCCAGGTGCACGTCACCCTGGGCGACTACGTGATCAACTCCGCCGTGGAGCCCCTGCCCGCCTACACCTTCGGCGTCCGGCGGATCGATGTGCATCCGTACTTCAAGTTCACGCCCCAGGCGGACCGCTTCGACATCTCCGTGCTGACGCTGGAGCGCACCGTGCACTTCATGCCACACATAGGTGAGTTTCCTTAAAAAATAGTCATTAATATTTAAAAATACAAAATTATATTAGCATAACGTGCTTTCTTAAAAGTAATCTTATTATCAATGGACCGAAATTATAGTTGTTTGAGACTAAACTGGTTTTTATGTATTAAAGTCACAAATTAAACTCCTTATTACTCTTGTCTACAAAGCGTATACAAATTAGCCGGATTGGAAAACATATTGAACTCATATAAGAATTATTTTCGGCTCTTGTGATTCAGTGTTATTAAACATCGATTACCATTGAAAGAAAAACTTGGTTAATGTGTACTCTTAATGGGCTATAAGAATTCTCTTAAGATTATGAATCTATAAAACTTTATTTAAATAGGTTATTCCACAAGTTAAAATATTACTTAGTCTTAATACTATAACAACGCCTAGTGCTTAGCGGGGAATAATTTGAAACGGTTAAAAATTTTCCAAAACAGTTTCAATTTAAAATGTTATTTTTGCTACTCATTTCAATCTACTCATTGAATACGGAGCCTTGGGTGGAACAAGTGTTAATAACTGATATAATCAGTTTTATTACTTGGCCCCTATTTTTAGATTGAAAGTAAGAAAAGGTGATAAATTTATTAAGACATTTATAAATAGCATTTATAAGCTAATGAGTAAGCAAACAAATTATTTTTGAGTTACAAACTAAGTATTAATGGTCCGACATTATAAATATTTTCAGCTCCCATCTGCCTGCCAGAGAAGAACGAGGATTTCTTGGGCAAGTTCGGCTGGGCCGCCGGCTGGGGAGCTCTGAATCCGGGATCTCGGCTGCGACCCAAGACGCTCCAGGCTGTGGATGTGCCGGTGATCGAGAACCGGATCTGCGAGCGCTGGCATCGGCAGAACGGCATCAACGTGGTCATCTACCAGGAGATGCTGTGCGCGGGATACCGGAACGGGGGCAAGGACTCGTGCCAGGGCGATTCGGGAGGACCCCTGATGCACGACAAGAACGGACGATGGTACTTGATTGGTGGGTGTTGAATGCTAGATGATCCCTTAAGCAACTGTTTAAACTATAATCCGTTGATCTCCTTCAGGTGTGGTCTCCGCTGGTTACTCCTGCGCGTCCAGGGGGCAGCCGGGAATCTATCACAGCGTCAGCAAGACCGTCGACTGGGTGTCCTACGTCGTCGGACTCACGATGAACATCTAGGGACGACGACGACGACGACTCTAACTTATTCTCATCGCATTCGCATTAGCATTCGCACCTGCCTGCTAAGTGGGCCACAGATTGTTTTGTACATAACTCACTTCATTCTGCTCCCAAATCCGACTTCGCTTCCACTCCGATCCACGTCGACTTAATTTATGGTTACACAAGAAATATATATATATATATATTATTATAATTTAACAAACAAATTAGCGCAGTACAATTTAGCAATTAGGATTGGCTGTGTGTGTCTGCAAGATACACACGTGTGCGATATATTTGCAAACACCCTAAAAAACTTTAAATTAATTATAACTGATAATTATGGTTTAATTTACTTAGTCATATGCGCTGTTATGTAATTTTAAAACTATTTATGAACTACATTTCGTGTGTAAATAAATTATACAAATGTTGAAATGAATTCGAACTTGTCAAACGTTTATTAATCGTGCAAACAAAGTCCAAATGTCATTTAAATCTTTTTTTTCTCTACTCGTTGCTGTTGTAGTTGCAATTGTCTTGATGTTTCGGAATTGTGCAATTTACTTTTGGATCGGCAGACGGGGCAGGTAGACCTGCTGATAGGGAACCCCAGCCGCGGTCCACGCTTGCTCGGCATCCTGATAGTAGAACCCGCCCATGTCCCCACTTTTGGACTGCTGCTCCATCACTCGAAATAGGGTGAAGACCTCGTGGTAGATCTTGTAAAAAATAACTACCAGAAAATGTACATATTAGCAGAGTGGCATCTTTGGCTGGATAGCATACCTACCCAGTACAAGGGTGAACACCAGAAGACACATTAGAAAGCTCGAAAGGTCAATAAACAGACCTGCGGTGGCATAGAAAACCCCCAAATAAAGACCAAAGCCAAAAATAACGCCATGATAGATCAACCACGGGTACATCAGACAACTAGAGTCCTAAAAGAGAGGGTGTAAAATAAGGTAACTGAGTATTATACTACTGAGTTCGCAATACCATCCTAAAAAGAGGCTATTAATATCAAACTTGTTTGCATAACTGAATTGAAATAAATATATTTTACCAATTAAATCAAAAGATATACAGAATTCTACCGATAGCTAGGAAAATCTTATGAAAATCTTATCTTATCAAAAATAAATTCACAAAATATGTCATGTTGTGTTTATAATGCCAGTTATTGGTGATCTTAAGTATATATAATTACTAAACTTAAAAAATAATTTATGATTTTCTTTGTGAATATTAGATGGACTGACAGAAAATCTGTAAGTTACATTAATCCATTAAACTTACCCGGGCGATACCTATTAGCAGCAGCAGACTGACTCCCATGTTGATCAGCGACATTCCATAAACAATAGTGCTAAAGATGGTCAACACTGGGCAACGACCAGCAAATCAGGAATTAGTGCCTCTAAACCTAGGGTCTAATATCAAGTCACAATACTCACAATTAATCAGGGCCTGCTGCTCTGTAACCGGAACCAAGTTCATAGGCCATTGCTTGAGCAGCAGTTCGATGTCCGGCTGCAAGTGGATTGTCAGCACGGAGCTGCCCAGGATGACGCTGGAGATGATCACGCCCAGCCAGCCGAGGATGAGGACATTGTACTTGAGGTTCTGGCACTGCACATACGAGATGCTGTGGCTGGCGACCATCGCCATGGTGGATGCGGATCTCTTACTGCCAGGATGCGGCGGATCGTTGGGGGCCATTGTCACCGTTTGTTGGGGTTCAACTTAACGTACGTTTTGCCGGATTCAGCTCTTCTTGGGCTCCGTTTTTGGGGTTTAGTTTGTGTTGCTGTTTGTGTGTTTGCAACAGAACAAACAACGATGAACTGAGAGTCAGGTGATAGGCTTCAAGGTGACTGGAAAGTTAGAAATCAAAGCCTACTGTGTATGTTATTGGATGAAAGTATTTTTCAATATAATTCTAACAAGTTTTCAGTTCTTATAGAACCATGGTGTATTTCTATTACCATAGGTAAGGAAAATAAATAGTTGGCAATCATTCAAAAGAAATTCAAATTAATTTTTAGACTCCAAGACAAATCTGAACAAAAATCAAAGAGGTTATTGGTTTCTTAACACTTAAAACTTTATTCTCACTTTTATACTCAAAATTACTTGGGAGAGTGACACCCAAGAACCCTACTTAATATGTTAATCCCACACAACTCCGCCCAGCTGGCGACAAATTAGAAAGTTATATAAATTAATGTGTGGACCCCAATTCGGTCAGTGGTTCTCCTTTGTCTAGATGGCCTAACCCAAAAACACTGCGATTGCCGCAAGAGAACTGTTCCCATTCCGGCGAGATATGCCAGCGGTTGTGGCAATTATGTCGCATAAAATAATTATAACAGACTGGGAGAACATTTCCTGCGCCGCTGGCGGCGTCATCAGCATTTCGTAATAATTAGTAAAGATGAAGAAGATCGTTGGTAGCAACTGAAGCGGCAGCAGTAGCAACAGCAGCAGCAACAGCAGCAGCAGCTACTCAACCCAGCAGCAACATCAACTGGCGACAGCAGCAACACAAACGAGAACCAAGATCAACCTGTTGCTGCGTCTTGGCTAATGGCGTGAAGTTAGTTTGCGTTTGGCCAGCAGCTCGTGCGGTTGTGGCTTATAACTCCATCTCGATCTTCAAAAACCAAAAGAATAGTTCTCGGAAACGGAAAATGTGTGAAACTCGGGTGCGTGGCTGCTGGGAAAAGGAAAACTGATGGAAAACTGTGCCATCGAGACGGCCATTCAGCGAATTGGCACAGTTCCCATTTATGAGTGTTATATAAAAATCCATTAACGACCGACCCATTTGCAAGCGACCCCGAAACTTGTTCGCCTATCAAGGACACACATCTCTTTCACTGGAGAAGATCGCTTGGCTGTGAGTCACCCAGACAGGCCCATAAAACGGCATTGGCAGCGTCTTCTAGTAAAAGTGGAGCAGCAATAATAGGAAATGTAAGAAGAAAACGGCAGAAGCCAGCTTAAAAAGTGAATAAGAAATTGTCATGCTTTCATTAGCAACAAAAGCGTTATAGCCCATTCCAATGGAGTGAAGTGAAGTGAGAATTGTTACCCCCGAACAAGACACTAAGATGCAGTTGCTGCTGTGGCTGTGCCTGTGCCTCCTGCTCCTCTGCCACCTTGGCCCCGCCCAAGCCAGTGAGTAGATCGCATATCGGTTCTATGCACCACTAACGATCCCAATCCCGATCCCCGCCAGACATCCTGAACACGCTGCTGGGCGTGCCCGCGGAATGCGTCCACCAGAGCGGCGTGTGGCCCTGCAAGCTGAGCTTTTCCTGCTGGCTCCAGGGTGGCAAGCATGCCAAGGGCTGTGGCAGCAACAAGTGGCTCTTCAGCTGCTGCGTGGCCGATTCGCAGCACCAGCTCCAGATGCAGCTGCAGCATCACTCCCCCTCCCCGCTGGCCAACCTGGTGGACTACGGCAAGCTGAAGCTGAGCTTGAACAGCCTGCCCAAGCGCATCATGCTGCGCCGACGTGACGACAACGAGCTCCTCGGCCTCAAGGTGGGTCGCAGTCGGGAATAATTGAGTTATTGCCACTGCTGAGCGGGATAATTGAGCAATTTCCCAGGCAATTGACAGACAGGCGGGATTTAGATCATTAAAGCCGGATCAAGGACTGCTACTCCTTCTAGACATTATTTATTAAAGCTTCGGCACGCCGAAGTTGCAGCTAAACCAGAAACGCGTTTGGCTAAAAATCATTATATCGTGAGTTACATACAAATACATATCTTTAAAACCGGGGAAGATAAGCCAGCTAATCTTATGGTTGGTTTTATCTTCTATCCGATATTGTCGGCAGATTATTTGCACATTTATTTAAGATCCATGAGTTTATGTTTTAAAAGGTTGACAATTTGTTTTAGAATTTGTCAATCGATCGTCCGATCTCGGCACACTGCCTGCAATAAAAATCAGAATTTTTGTAAAGTTTCGGTTTTTTTTTATCAAAGCTCTGAAAAATAATAGTCAAATGTCATAGCTTGTTGAATAGTTTAGGTCGTCAGCTGCACAAAATATACATTCTTTTAGCTGTCTCCCTCATTTTGGATAAGTTAAGCACAAAAACCTTTAAATGTATTTAATGGCCAAAAGCCCGAGAAAAATACATTTTTGTTTCGGTTTTTTGATCAAAACCTTGTGAAAAAATAGCTTAATATTTGAATGTCATACCTCATTGAATTTGTAATCAAATTTCCAATCGATTGGGATTTACAGCTTACAAATTTAATTTTTGTCCAATTTTCGAGAAAAATCATGAAGTAACACCTTATAAAAAATGCAAAAATTGGTCAAATTTTTTTTTTTTACAAATTAACACAGAATTGATAGATTAAGAAGATTAAGATCCTTGGCAACAAAAAAAAGCCGTTCTTTTGGTTATGGGTCGTATTTTAGCTTAGTTAGAACAAAAAGCACTGAAACATTTTCATTTATGGTCGAAATTCCGAATAATTCAACTCGAGTCTTGGTTTTTTCAAACTAATGGCACAAGCATGGTTGCTCTGCAATCCAATTTAAAATTGATTAAGTTAACTTATATAGTGTTTAGTTCTAAACAATCTTTCTTGAATTTGCGTAACAACATTAAAAATACAAAAAGTTGTGGCTTGATTTTAAATTATAGGAAAGTTAGTTATAATGAAAGTAAGGCACTCCACTATCCAACTAATATAAGTAAAGTCGTGGTATGTAAATTCATGGAAAATCTTAAATTTGATATTAATTAGTGCAATGTAAAGTGCCAGTATTGTTCACCTCTTCAAATTTATAAGTTACTTGTTGATCACAAATAGGGATGGTCTTTGTTACATTTTAGTAAAGCCTGTAAGCTGGCAATAGGAACTCAGCTTAAATAATAATTAGGAATGGTTATTCTTAATAAGTATAAACTTATATGCACTTAAGTACTCGTACTAAGCCTCTGGCAAAGCTAGCACAAAAGCTAATACAAAATTGTTATTAACAAAACTGTTCACAGCCCGAGTGTGGTTTGCCACGAACGGCGCAAAATACGCTGCAGAAGCGCATTATCGGCGGTCGTCCGGCGCAGTTTGCGGAGTATCCGTGGCAGGCGCACATCCGCATTGCGGAGTATCAGTGCGGCGGAGTGCTCATCTCCGCAAACATGGTGGCCACGGCTGCCCACTGCATCCAGCAGGCCCAGTTGGCTGACATTACAGTATATCTGGGGGAACTGGACACGCAGGATCTGGGCCAAATCCACGAACCGCTGCCCGTGGAGAAGCACAGCGTGCTGCAGAAGATCATCCATCCGCGCTTTAACTTCCGCATGACCCAGCCGGATAGATACGATTTGGCCCTGCTGAAACTGGCCCAGCCGACGGCCTTCACGGAGCACATCCTGCCCATCTGCCTGCCGCAGTACCCCATCCGCCTGATTGGCCGGAAGGGTCTGATCGCCGGATGGGGCAAGACGGAGGCGCACATGGGTCACGCGGGCACCAACATGCTGCAGGTGGCCAGTGTACCCATCATAAGTGAGTACTCCTGCAAGACTTCTCCCTTGATTTTAGTAATACCTTTTTTTATAGCCACCTTGGACTGCATTCGCTGGCACGAGAGCAAGCAGATTAATGTGGAGATCAAGGCGGAGATGTTCTGTGCCGGTCATTCCGATGGCCACATGGATGCGTGTTTGGGTGAGTTACTTACTTTCTACCATAACATAACTAAATAATACATTTTTGAATCAAAAATTCTGAGGGAAAACGAATACAATGTTAGTTAAATTAATATAATAATACAACAAAGCATACTTTTAGGCTGTACTAAATTTCTGTTGAGTTCAAAATATGCTTGGTAAATTGTTTGCTTGTACCAAAAGTTTAAAAGCAGTTATGGGACAATTATTACAATGTACCACACCATTTATATAAACAATATGATAATAAATCTGTACACCTAATAATTTTATAACGTTGAAATCCGGATTTGGAAATAATTAAATTAATACGACTATAATTGTTTAATTGAACTTGATTTTTAGTAGACTTCAAAGTAAAAAAATTATGCGTCTTAAATCTGAAGAGAAAGTAACTTAATTAAATTACAGGCTTGATTTGTGTACTTTTAACAAACGCCAAATTTTTAATACATACGTTATGCATCTAATTAACCAATATCACACAAATATAATATTTTTCAGGCGATTCAGGAGGTCCACTGGTGATCAAGGAGCGTGGACGCTTTGTGCTTGTAGGAATTACCAGTGCAGGCTTTGGCTGCGGAGTAGATCATCAGCCAGGTGAGGGTTCCTCAACCTCTGTTATCTACCAAAAAACTAAAAAAGGTAATATTTGTTTTTACAGGCATCTATCACAACATTCAGAAGACTGTGAGGTGGATACAGGAAGTGGTGACACGCAACGAGTTATAGCTGCAGACGACCCTGGAAATCCCCTCCGAACCTTTGGCAATGCAACCCATCTCATTAGTTTACGGCTCGTAGCATTAGGCAATGGCAATGTGCAATCCGCCGCCAGAGACACAATATTTACTAGATTTAATAAACAATACAATTAGCTAATTGTAATTTCGTTTGCCATTTGGGGGAAGTGGGCTGGAGACCGACCTTGAACGCCGCCCGCCGCCAAAAAAAGAGAAAACCAGGCGGCCCAAACAAACGAGCCTCTTGTTGGGTTATGTCACTGGTTTTGGCCTATTTGGTGGAGTGCCACAAATGGCACAATCCCTAACTGCCAGGCGGTAATTTGTACATTAGGCACATTAAGACCAGGCAGCCTGCGTTGCCCAATGTTGTTGCGCAGTGCAATTGCTGCTGTTGGGATTGCTGTCGTGCTGCACCGCAGCAACATACTTATTTCGGTGGGCGTTGGCAATGAAATCGAAAATGTGTGCCATTGAATGGCCAATAATTATTGACTGGTAATCATTGGGCCCCCGGCTCGAAAGCTTCTTTGTGCCGAAAGCAAGTGTCACGCTTGAGATAAAGTCCCCATGTTGCTGAGTGGAATTTTCCGGCTGCAATTTGTTCGGCAATTGTTGGTTTTGCTAAAACACCAATTTGTGTTTGTGAGGGAAAACGCGACTTCCTCTTTGAAATGGTGAAGGTAGAGAGGCGCGAGTGGGCAAAGAAATTGGATATTAGTCATGGAGACAACACCAGCGACAGCGGCAACATGCAATTGCCAGTTGAGCGACAAAACTCGTTGCCTTGGCCACTTTCGTTTTCAATGCGGGTCTCTCGTCGTCTTGGATTGGATTGGATTGAGCTGGCCGGGCTTTTCTCTCCGACGCTCCGCTCTTTGGTGACTATTACTCAATAGTCGGCGCTCGGCACGCTGCGTACCGCTCAGCAGTCCGTTGGCGGTGTTGATGGCATTTTGATTTTGAATTTGTCAGCCAACTGTTTATTAAGTGTTTCGACGCGACGGCACACTGTTCGCGAACTGCGGCTGCATTTGGGCGACGCGAGACCGCAGAAAACGCAGAAAACGGAGTGTGAAATATTAAAGATACGCTCTGAAATATTGCCAAAGCCGAAGCCGCGAAAAAAAAGAAGAAGGTGGAGAAAATTGTGAACTTAATTCCATTTACTGGGCCGCACTCCTCGACATTTCGGCCTGCTATGCAAACGAGGCGCGATTATTCAATCAAAAACTCGCGCCGCTACGTGAATTAAGTGAAACACAATTGCAGAAATCAGTGACAGGCGCGGCAACAACAAGTGTAAACAACAACGAAAGTATTGCAAAATGCGCTCGCCGCAGCAACTGTTGTTGCTGATGTTGCTGCTTGCAACAGTGGTCGCTGCTGCTGTTGCTGGCCACAGCAATTACAATTCGGTGTACAACGAGGTGATTCCGCCGGAGCTCAAGCAGGCCATCAATAAGGAGCTGCCCAAGGAGGCCAAGTTCTTCGATGAGCTGGACTGTGAGTATTACGCCCGAAGTTGCCCCTCCCTCTGCAGTCAAGTCGAATCGAGTTCGTTGCCTAAGTCTTTCGTTTCGCCTTACACAATTTGCATATTAGTTAACACGCCATGCTTAACCTTGATCTTCGTCAAGTTCGGCCCCAATTTCCAATCAAGGCAATTGAGAAACCCTTTTGAAAAATCAGACTTGGGCCCCGGCGAAAGTTGAGCATTCCGTTCTTGGGCAGCCAATTCATCTTGTTTAATTGGACTTTCCAAGAGAAAGAAGCGAAAGGCAATTAAGACCGAGCTTAAGGTGATTACACATTAACATAAAGGCCCAAACTGCGAGATGTAGATCCACAAAGAAAGGCCGCGTTTTTGGGCAACTGTGAATGACTATTAAAACGCTGGCCAGCCGGGCAAAATATTATAAATCAAATGCAAGCGTGTGGCGGCTGCACAAGTTCAATGGCAGCTGCTGCCTCCACGGATATATGTAATATGAGTACGGTACGAGTACGAGTACGAGAAAAGCAAAAGTGTTTCCAGATACCGATACACAGACAGGAAAATCAACTGCAATTAACTTCAATTGCACACTGGCAGTATTCGAAAGTGTTAACAGCAACCGCCGTGAGTCGGCCATTTTCCCAAAGATTATAGATTATTTGGTTTGGCCTTTTATGTAAGCAGAAACCTTGGCCAAAAAAAACCAAAACCAAAAATAAAGTCCAATTGAAGTCGAGCAAATTGATGGCTCGGCAACATGTTGCTGCTCGGTTCGCTGGCAACATCGCCGCTCTGCTCTGTTTTTATTGCGACGAAGTTGCTCTGCAAGTGAAATGGCCAACAGCGGCTTGTCTTCGGCTCTTCGGCTGCTTTTCGGCCATGGTAGCTCGGCTCTTGGCTTGGCGGCCACAAAAGCTTGGCTTAGTTCTGAGCCGATTTTCCCGACGCGCGGTCGCCTTTTCAGTTCACTCGCTCCTCGCCGACTGTGTGCGCATGCGTAAAGAAAGATAATTCCAGGGGCATATAAAAGTGAAGCGGAGATTACGATTTTCTTTTTTTCGAGCCGTCGAAACTGCGCATGCGTGAACCGCGCTCAAGAAAGCGACCGATGAAAACAAAAGTGAAATCCTTGGTGAACTAGAGGCAGGACTGCAGCTGGTCGCGATCGACTTGCAGTGACAAATCAATCATAAGCCAGAAAGCGAAAGTGCAGCTACCCCAACGAAAGTGAAAGTCCGCGTGGAGAACCCCCCTTTTCATACGTTTAGCCGCCATGTTGCCATTGCCCCCACACTCCAAGGACACCTGGCTGCGGCTGGTGATCCTGGGTGTGCTGGCGGTGAGTGCAGCGGATGGCCTGGGCTATCCCAGTGCCCAGCAGGAGCACGACATGCTCATCCTGGACGCCCTGTCCCGACGCAGTGGAACCGGATACTACGGCGAGAACAGCGTGATGGAGATGCTTTCCCGAAGTACTTAGCCCCGACCAATTTGACTTGACTCAGACAAGCCCCAACCCTCTTGATTAATCTCGTTCCCCCACCGCCCCCTGTCTTTACAGTGATACCGCAGTCGTGCCGCTTTCGTGGCCACAAGTTCGAGTGCGGCCTGTCCATCTCATGTGTCTTGGGCGGCGGCAAGCCACTGGATCTCTGCTCCGGCGGCATGATCTGGTCGTGCTGCGTGGACAAAGATCTCGACGCCGAGGAGAGTCCGCATGCCGCCCCGGTCAACAACACAAGTGAGTATCGCCCCCCTTCCAAGTGCATACCCCATTCCGATTCCCCAAAAACAAGACAAACAGTTGATTCTGAAAGACATTTCGCCTCCTGCTTTCCCCGCGCCATTCCCTCCAATTGTAAATTGCTGCGCTTCGAGTTATGCAACTCGGTTTCGTATAATAGAGCAATAAATTAGCTTGCATTTCGAAAATGACAACAAATTGCTCTGCGCACAAGTACACAAAGTATGCCTTTGGGCTTAGTCCGGGGTAACTCAGCTAAATAGCAACAAACCTGGTTTTCCAAATGGATAATACATTGGTGATAGCTGCAGAGAGTTTGGTACTCTTCTAGGCCTTGGAAACTAGGCTTTCTTTAGTAGTCAAAATATTTATTTCATTTTAGGGGATAGGATAACTGCCATGGTCTAAAAAAGCTTTGGATGTTTTTTATAAGAATTCTTTAACTAACCATAATTCAAACTGTTTTTATCTGCAAAGAATGATTATCTAAAACAAAGGCTATAAACTTATAACGTTATAAGTGTATAAACATTTCTTTCATATTCAAACTTTGTATTTATTTATTTTAAAAAGCAACAAAGTTGTTAAGATCAGTTTTTTCATTGTACTCCAAAATGTTTGATATTTTGACTGTTATTTTTTAATGGAACCCCATTTTGCATGATCCGAATAGAGTTTCACCATATAAGCTTAAAAAATTATAAGAAAAATTTAAAACAACAAACTCCTGCATTGATGTTGATGAAGGATACTCCGATTTTTTATACCTTGCTACAGAATTTACTCAAAGTTTTCACAAAAAGGGCGGAAGTACAAAGCAGAATTTGAATTATATCTTCCGATCTTTTAGTAACCTTTAAGAATGGAGTTTTTAATGAATAAGCTTTTTTCTTGATGACCTAGTGACCTACAACATAATTAGATTTTAGACACTCAGTGCTTTTTATATGGGAAAGTCTAAACACCAGTCCCAAAATGTGGGAAATTTTCATTCGGGAATTGAAAATTAAGGCAAAACTAGATAATTCATAATATATTCAGTAAATAAAATCATCCATTTTTTGTTAGCATTCACATACTTTGAATTAACATTAGATGATGTTATTATATTCGCTAATATTACCTATTCTCTATTCTTATTTATTTTTGAACGTTTCCTTCATACGTTCACATTCCTAAAACCAACTTGAACGAGTACCCGCTGGTTTATGGATCAATTGGTTTGCCATCAAGTGCATTGGTTATATCGTAATCGCAGTGGATGCAATTACCAATTCGGCAATAAGTGCAGCAAGAAGACCTACGAGAAGAGGCAGAGCCACTTACTATATATTATGCCACACACGCATGACTATGGCCAACGAAGTTTTGTTTATTTGGCTACTGTGAGTTGCTGTTTTCCTTCTTCAGCTGTTCCGCAGCTATTTTGTTGTGCTCTGTTTAATTTTCTAGATTTCTGCCTTCTTTTTTCGAATGCGCACGTTACAAACATAAAAGCAACCTGAACAATAACAAAGCATTACAACATGTTATGAATAATTCTTAGTGGAAAATTTTGTTTTCCACCGCCTCTCTCTCTTTCTGCCCCTTTTATTTCGGACTCACATCAATCTCGTCTTCAACCTTTTCTTTTACCGCAATTTAACTTAATTTTGAGAGTTTTTTCCCCCACTTTTCGGTTAAACATTTCCTCAAAGCCCACAAAGAAGCGGGTTCTGCGTGCTTTCTTTGGTAGTTCATGTGTAAAGTTTTCCCAAGACATCTGGCGACAATGATAAAGCCGAAAACCAGAGTCAACGTCAACCCCGAAATGGGCAAAACTCACTTGCGGAAATAAACGAAGGTGAACGTTTTCGCATTTAAAAGTGAAATTTTTGGTTTTCTTTCTTTGTTTCAATTCGGCACCCTCAATCCCCACCGCCCCCACCCCTTTTCGAGGGTTTTATTATTTTGTTTGCTTTCAAATGTGGGAAAAATCACAGCGTTAAAGTTACGGCATAGCCGAGCTCCTCGAAAGTGTTAATCAAGTCATGACGCCGTTCTGTGTCTCCCCCGAAATGGCTTTCGTATTGGTTTGAATTACGTGCGAAACGCCCAGTCTTTGTTTTAATGACATGACTGACCAGTCTGGAGCCTGACATAATCGCGATCGTGTCTGGGGACTCACTTTTTATTATGATTGCACGTCAGTTTTTTGTTTGGGGGAAAGTCTGACACCGACTTCAAGGGTGACCCCTGGGAGTTGGTGGTCAGATCATCATCCTGTATCACGATTCTCACACACAGGCGACATAATACACTTGCATGACATATACCCCGACCTGTCGACGAACGCCAACAAGCCGCAGCACCACCTGCACCACCACAGTGGCAACGGCCTGTCGGCGGCCTCATCCACCTCGTCCACGGCGTCCTCCTCCTCGGCACGACCGGCTTACCCCAGCAGCTACTACGGCACCAAGCGACCATCCTTGTACAGCAGCGGTTCCAATCCCTATAAGCCAGGATCCAGCCGCCCATCCTCCTCCTCCTCCTCCTCCTCGTCCTCCTCATCCAGCCTGAACAGCTGGGAGCACGAGGGTGGAGGCGGCCACTTGGGCAACATCAATGGGATCACCAACCACCTGGACAGCTTCTTCGATGCCGAATCCACGCCGCCGTTGGACTCGGCCGGCGCACCACCACCACCATCGCCCCATGAGCCACTGCCCAACGCCCAGGCCTTCGCGGTGGGCAATGTCCTGGATCTCAATGCTGGCGAGGCGGCGGATGAGTACCAGAGTGGCGGCGGCGGGGGCTACCACGATGCCAGCTATCGTCCAGTGCCGGGTACAAAGCAATCTCAAAACACTCTCTGTTCTCTGGCACCACTGCAACGGGTTTTCCTTTAAGCTGCACCACACAACCACACAACCACTCACCCACTCTGTCACCGCTCACACTGTTGTTCTCTTAGATTCTGTAGATCTTTTCTATACTTTGGTGGACTTTTAAGGGTACCTATGAGATTAACCTTCCTATAACATATCCCATTCTTTATTCCCAGGCTGCGGTGAGGTCTACACCCGATCCAATCGCATTGTGGGAGGCCATTCCACCGGCTTTGGATCCCATCCCTGGCAGGTGGCACTGATCAAGAGTGGATTCCTCACCAGGAAGCTCAGCTGCGGTGGTGCCCTGATCTCCAATCGATGGGTGGTCACAGCCGCCCATTGTGTGGCCACGTAAGTGTTAAAAGTACTAAGAGAATTTTAAAGATAGTAATAATATCTTTGAATACAGCACCACCAACTCCAACATGAAGATCCGCTTGGGCGAGTGGGATGTTCGTGGCCAGGAGGAGCGGCTGAATCACGAGGAGTACGGAATTGAGCGAAAGGAGGTGCATCCCCACTACAATCCCGCCGACTTCAAAAACGACGTGGCCCTGATCCGTTTGGATAGGAATGTGGTCTATAAGCAGCACATCATACCCGTCTGTCTGCCGCCTTCGTCCACGAAGTTGACGGGCAAGATGGCCACCGTGGCGGGCTGGGGGCGAACCCGACATGGCCAGAGCACAGTGCCTTCCGTGCTGCAGGAGGTGGACGTGGAGGTGATCTCCAACGATCGCTGCCAACGATGGTTCCGCGCGGCAGGACGTCGCGAGGCTATCCATGATGTGAGTGCATGTAACATACATTTATAAATAGCTAAAGTTACCGTCTTAAAATTTTTTTTAAAAAAATTTTTGTATTGGTTGGTCTGCTTCAAGGCTTAACCTGCAAGTACACATTTTAATCTTGTCGCTGTTTTGTATGGAATGGCTGCATTCGGACAAAATAGTATTTCTAAGCTATATTTTAGTTGGTTTACAAGTAATTATTATTATCTTTTTCTTGCCCCGAATCTAAAAAATATTAAATTAAAAGTTGTCCCTATTTCTGATAACAGTCAAATGAAAAAACACAATAACATGATCATTGGGGGTTTGGAGAAGACTATATATTTAACTAGCAACCAAATGGTATAATTTAATTGATATTGCGCCTATAATAGGTGCATCATTTTGTTTAAAGAAACAAATATAGAAATAATGATTTATATTTATTTTTTTGCTTCCAGGTCTTTCTGTGCGCGGGATACAAGGATGGCGGGCGGGATTCCTGTCAGGGCGACAGCGGCGGGCCGCTCACGCTGACCATGGACGGACGAAAGACGCTGATCGGACTCGTCTCCTGGGGCATTGGTTGTGGGCGGGAGCACCTGCCCGGCGTGTACACCAACATCCAGCGCTTCGTGCCCTGGATCAACAAGGTGATGGCCAACGACAACGCGTAGGAGCCACTGCACCAGTGAATTTACAACCGGAAGACTGCAGTCACCGCTCGAGGAGTCCTGCAGTCGTGTGCGTCCGCTGCGGAGATGAGGAGGTGCATCCCGTCAGCCAGGCCATGTGATTCCTCTACGACTCGGGGTTGCTAGTGTGTAAGACCAAGGCCTTTGGGGCCTTGTATTTATTTTGACCATATTCCACGTCCTAGGGATCCCTTCGCCTTCATTCGTTTCTCATTGCATTCCACGCATTCGATTTAAGTTTTCGATATTTATTATACACTGCTCGAAGAAAGATTCCTACATTTGAAATCCACTTTCACGTACAATTATATTTATAACTTTAATTATGTTTTAAAATACAAATAAAAAGTATTAAAAATTAATCAAGGTTGTTTTTATTTCATGGGTATTTTCTTTTATACTTAAAAAATGGCCTAATGGCGTAAAACATTACCTTGTGAAAGCAAATTTCGTAGTTATACACTTCTTAAAGTTACTTGAAACTATAATCAGTAAATCAGTAAATTAAGTTCAATTAATCAGTAAAATAATTTTTAAATTATTTATTTGTATCCTGAAAGATTATTATGCCCCCTGTTCTTAATTATTAAGGGTTTTATTGTATTTGAATTCGACCTTATAAAGTAACAATAGCAGCATGAATTGGTTTATCACAAAAACCCTTTGGCATCTTTACATTACGCCTAATTGCAGGCAATACTTTTTGTTATGGGAACTCTACACGAATTTTACATTTACATTGGACATTCTACACCTTTTAAATTGTGATTAAAAATACATAGCATACTTTTCGCCAGCAGCTCAGCCCTGACACTAAATAAATGATTTGAAAATAGATAGGAATCTGTATTTATCTTGTTAGGCAAATAAAAAACAGGGGCAGCAAACATCAGTCAGAAAGGCACAAAAGACACGAACAACAAACAGTGATATCTTCGGGAGTCGAGATAAGCGGGAAGGTCCAAACTGTTGAGTAACTGGGTCCATGCAACAGGTGCCACATGCGGCGCATGAGCTGAATTTCTAATGAGCCCAACTTCCGCTACTGCCTGGCTGGCCAATATCTCCGCTGGGCATCATGTGGATTGCGGGGCAATCAAAATTCAATAATATAATCAAGAGGGGAAGAGACAGAGACGAAGTGGCTAATGAAGGAGCTTATCAGCTGCTCTCTCCGCGATCACATCTCTACGCTCTTAGCATCCACATTGGCATCCACTTCTTCGGGCACTGCCAATTGGCCTGGCCAAAGAACAGGGGATCGCTCCGGCTTCCAGTCCCCAGTGCCCAGTCAGTCGCTGTGGAGCAGCGCCAGTGTCAAGGTCTCTCGAGTTCAAGGAACGGCCAAAGACACGCGTCATCGTCATCGCCAAGTCAGTCAGTGGTGGATGGTTAATTGTGCGTTTTGTTTTGTTTGCTTTCGATTCATTAAACAAAGATGTTGTGAGACGCGTTTTGTGTGATTTATAATTGGGTTTTCTTGGCAGTTAAATGGCTTTTTCATCTGGCCTAATGATGTGTTTATACGTGTTTTGTGGTGGTGTCTTTATAATTTACAATGCGAATAAAAATTACTCCAAAACGAGTGCGCTTCTTAAAGCTAGAAAGTGCTTTTCTTGAGAATTTAAGCAAATATGTTAGTGATAGATACAAATATTACCCAGCTGAAAGTGTCTTTCTTCACAGAATCATTCCGGCTTAAAAGTTCTTTCTCAGAAGTTTCTGAGGCAAATGTCCAAAAATAAAGGAAGTCACCATGCAATTCTTATCAGCCAACAGGTTTGCCTGTTAGGTCCAGCATAATAACGATTGACTTTCTTAACCTGACGACGTGCATAAATTAAAAGACAAACAAACGGCGGCCCTCGAACTCATACTCACACGGGTGACAAAGAATGGCAAGCGGCAGCAAAAACAAACTCATTTGCACCACAAAATATTAAAAGAAAAAGCCAGCCTGTCTCTACATGTGTGTGTGTGTGTGTGTTGCCCGCTCTGTTGTCTTCTGCTTCTTGCTATTTTAATGTGAAAGCGCTGTTAGCCCCAAACCTCAACCCCCTCCCCCCGCCAAACACCTTTTGCCGCCAATCAGCTGTGAGCCGCCCCAAGAAAAAGAAGAAAAAAAAGAGAGAGGTGGCCAAAAGAGAGAGATGGTTCATTTGAATAAGAAACAGAAACAGAAACAGCGCCTAGCTTTTGGCCGTTCTCGCTGTTGGCCTTAATGGAAACCGTTATGCGCGTAGCGCAGTCAACGTCGACTGCACGCATGCGCACATGTTGGTGGTTTTGGCTTTGCCTTTGCTTTTGCTTTTGCTTGTTTTTCTTTGCCTTTGGCTTTGAGCCGGAGCGAGCGAGAGAGCGAGCTTAGCTTACTTACCAATTTCGCCTTACCAAGTTCTTCGGCTCTGCCGGCGTGGCCAAATCTCAGTCGCAGCGGGCAGAGGCAGCGGCAGAGGCATCGCAGCAGCGACTTCACCTGGCTCACCTGGTTTGTGGATCTTTTGTGCGAGCTCCACTCCGCAGACGTGCGCAACTTGTCGCGCTCTTAACTTGGTCTTCTGCTCGTCTTCCGTATTCCGTATTCCCTCTTCCGCGTGTGTGTGTGTGAGTGCGGGGCCTAAACGATTGTGTTTGTGAAATAATTGGCCTGACCCAAAAGTCCCGAGGCAAGTTCAAGTGCAAGAATACAAACCGATAGGAAACAAATTTCGGGAACTAAGATTTTCCCAGCCGGCCTAACAGTGCTTTGTGTGATTTTTTTCTATAAAACAAAAGGTAGAATTCCGGAAAAAGGCCAAGAGCCAGTGTCAAACAAAAGAGGCAAAAGTGAAGAAACTCATAAAACGAAGCGGCCACAAAGAGTTAAGAGTTATAATAACACTCATATGGTAACAGCAAATTAAAAGAAATGACCCAAAATAGCTGGCCGCAGTGAACCGAGCCGCGACGTCAACTGAACTGGCAGCCAAACGCAAGTAAATGCAAAAGATCCGAGACTTAGATACGCATCCGCCAGATATGCCGGGCTTTTGTGCCCAAAGTGGCTGTGCACTTTCTACCGCGTACAAGTCAATTAAGCGCCAACTCACTACGGCCACAGATACAGATACAGATTGAGATACAGATACCGAGATACCGAGATACAGAGCAGCCGATAGATGCGCATAACTGCAACTAACTGCACCAGCAGAAGGCAGCCGCAAAACAAGAGCAACAAGTTCAAGCGCCGCAAACACGGCCAAAGCTTAAAAACGAGTCCAAAGCAAAAGTCGCCGTCCGCCCGGCTCCTCCTGTAAATTTATTGAAATTCCTGTAAAATGCAGGCGAGCCAAGGCGGCTTGCCACAAGAGTTGGCAACAGCAGCAGCGGCAACAGCGGCAGCGGCAGCTTACTATAGTACAAGTGTTTCAATTGCGCTGCGACTGCCGACTGCTTCTGCTTCTACTTCTGCTGGGGCAACTTTGCTGCTGGGAAAAGGCAAGAGCAGAACTTTGCCTTCTCCAGCTTCCCCTGCCAATGTTTTCGCCTCCTCTGCACCTTGGCAAACGATTTTTGCTTTTCGGTTTAAAGAACTGGTCTGATAGTGGTTATGCCAATGCGCAGGCGAGGGTATGCCGGGTTAAATGGAACAGTGAACAGCAGGCTAAGGCAGTCTAAATTTGATTAGGGATATTTTTATAAAACTTTAAGTGCCTTGTTGGCCAAGTGACACTTTTAAGCTGTTCTTCTTGCTTAACTAAAGGATAATTGTGGGGTTTTACTCTTTTACAACTTTTGGTGTCGAAAAGAGAAATTTATTTAGGTAATTAAGTTTATCTGGGATTGTCCCAAGGATACCGCAGTTAATTTCATTGGCATTTCAGTGTTATATTAAAAGAGCGTATTTAAGACCAACGTTTTACCAAAGACAATGAGCATTTGAACTTGGCTTGATGGAAGAGCACATTTATAATCCAAACACTAAATGCGTTTTAAAAAAATATTTTTCCTACCTTAAAAAAGCATTTCCACAGTGTTTCTATGATTATAATGTTGTTTAGTGAATACTTTTCACAGATTTATTACACAATTATACATATTAATTAATACAATACAAAATAATAATATGCCAAATTAAGTAACACAATTTTAAACCTATCTGAGTCACCAATCGAATCTCTAATCCTTTTCAACTAAATGACTCACTAACTGATTCACTCATTAGGTTGACCATTAATGTAAATTTGTCAACTGAAAATGTTTTGAAATGAGTACCAATAGGTCGACTACATCCCAATCACACACCAGCTCTTCCTTATTGTTTGAGACCTGCCAGTCCGCCTGTCTTTGGTCTAAAACGCACTCGACAGCAGGGAGGGATGGAGGGGGAGGGGGGAAAGGGGCCAGGCACGTTTGTCTTGCGGCCACAGATGATCTGGCAGTAGGATGCCTGTTGCGTTATTTGCATTTCACGTTCTGGGGCCGCTCTGGTTTATACAGGTTTGTCGGGGCAGATCTCCTGCCAGGCCGACGATGATGGGATGATAGGATGAGGGGCTGCGTAGAGTAGCATAAAATGGCTTGTCGTAATTATTGTAATTTGCATTCGGCATTTGCAATTGAGAAATTGCCGTTGATGGTTGCATTGAACCTGCAGTCGCAGCTGCCGAAACAATTAGCCGGCCCTCAGCGACAGGCGATGCGCACGCCTGCCCATCAAGTTTGTGCCCAGAGTCTTTCGTTTTCAGCTAATGAACTGGGGATGCCTTGGCCACCAGTTGGGGGACCAGTAGCCCAGAGCTACCAAACCGCTGAGCCATGGCAGCCCGCAGCTGAGTGGACACAATACCAAAAAAAAAAAAAAAAGTAAAATATAACGCACACACAAAATTTCTCCGAGCTCCGTTTTTGGTAAGCAGAAATGAAAGCAGCGCCAAGCGAGACGCACTTCTTATTTGATTACACTAGAAACGTAGCCGATGTGTATGTGGTTTCTTTTGACGAACTAGCCGTTCCACGGCAAATGGCATAATTCTTTTGTTCAGCATTTGAAATTACAAGCTGCTGCTGCTGGCATTTCACTTTTCCTTTAAGTAAATACTAAAAAAAAAAGCCACAAAGAAATTCGTTGGCTTTCGCTTTTACTCAGGGCAAACCCAGCTGCAAAATGTATTTTTAATAACAAACAAAACAAATTGTAATTTCACTTTTAACGAGCAAATGAAATTGTCACTTGTATCGAGTCGCAAAGTGGAAATTACTTAATTGCCCATAAAGCGAGCTGGAGTTGGTGTTGGAGCTGGAGGGACAGCCC